AGCCTTTGGAGCAGGCAAATGTCCTCTAACTGCAATTTCAGACGGTCAAGGTAACAGACCTTTTTCATTAAGTACTTCCAAATTTCTAATCTATCCATGAATGTGAAAAATCTGTGCTAATTAAAGCCTGTCATATAGGCCAATAGTGCAGAGAGGACCTGGGAGTTTTATGGGATTTAAAGGAGCAGTCTCTACATTAAATATGACTAGAGTTTTCCATACCATAATGCAAGATCTTGTTTCACTATAACTTTGTGACCTGATTTATGAGCAGTTGCTAAAATGTTCAGTGGTATTTTCAGCTTTTGAAACGTTGATCAATTTTTGTAGTGAGGGAAAAGAAAACTTCCAATGTAGAGAACATTTACTAAGACACATTTAGTGGATAAAATCCTCACTCCTTCTACATCAACCTGTCATGTGCCTTAACAATTTCAAATTCAAATGTCTGCCAGAGGTCTGTCAGAGTGATTTTATTGATTATTGGGTGGTGATCTGTAGAAAATGAAGAGTTCTGAGCTAGCTAAATGAGGTAATGCTGTCAGTTCCAGCAAATTCTTGCTATGTAAAAATGAATTCATAAATGTGGTTTTGCCAAAATTTCTAATTGTTTAAGAGAAGCCAGATATCAAGATTTTTCCAAAATCATAGAATATGTATACACACACACACACAGCAGAAATTAAAAAAGTAACATTGCATGAATGAACAACAGAAGTTTGTGGCTTTTGTAGCAAATCACACTTTTATCCTCTAGTGCAGCACCGTTCATTAGAAGTCAAATGTGAACCAAATACATAATTTTACTTTTCTAGTGGCCACACTAAAAGAAGTAAAAAAGAAGCAGGTGAAATGAATACAAATAATGTATTTTACTTAACTCAGTATATCTAAAACATACTCTAACAATGTAATCAATATAAAAACTATTGATGAGATACATTACATTCTCTTTGCTATGCCACACTTCCCAAATTTGGAATTTATTTTAAATTTATAATGCATCATAATTTGGATACTAATGTTTCACTGGAAAAATTTGATCTGTATTTAGAGCTCATAAAATATACAGTTGAAAAAAAATCAGCTCACATAACCCAGATTTTCCAAATATCCCTGCTTCCCATAACTGAATTGAATAATAGCTTTAAAGTTACCAAATGCCTATTTATTATTAAAATATCTACAGGTAAATGCAAAGTCTATGAGCAGGTGAATGCAACACCACCAACTATCCCTGAATATCCAACTGTACTAGCAGAGATAATTGCCAATTTTATTGTGGTGTGTTCGGACTAACTACTCATACCTGCGCACATATACACATATGCATATACGCAGAGTTACTTATATATTTCTGTGGATGTATCTATCATACAAGAGAAGATTAAAACCTGCTTTTAAAAGGAAGAGAACAGCTGTTTTGATTAGGTAAAAGCTCAATGGAATTTTTCTTAATTGAATTTTTGGGTTACTAGATATAGTTGGGAGAATATGGTTATGACAAAAAATTAATTTGCCTAATGTAATAAGGAATATTAAGATTTTGAATCTTTCTTGGCAAACAATGGCCTGGGGAATCAAGAACTGATAGAAGAGTGAATGAGTTATAGAATGTGGTCCCTAAAGAGAAAAAGCTGCCCTGGCTACAGTACAAAATATGTTCATTGGGTAAGAAACAGCCTGTGGTATAGATGACCTAGGGAGTTAAGCTGGTATATTTATCATTAATTATTAATTTGCTGCCTGTTCTGTGCCATGGTGTAATCTCTGAGATATTCTGAAGCAAAACTCTTGACAGGTACCCTATAGCTGTGTTTAAGCTTTTTCTGGATTATAAATAAGGCTCCCATCTATTCTTTGACTAAAGCAGTACAGGTTATAGAAATGAACTATTTCTGAATGTAAGACCAGAATGGAATCAAGAAGTAGGTAGAATAAGAATAATAATGTGCATCTCTTGATAAACTCTGGGTCACTGGATAAAGGATTTGACTACCCACAGTACTTAGGCTGGAACTCCAGGAAGTTTATTTAATTAATAAAAAAATTATGACATTCAAAACATTAGCTATCTGTACCAAATATTTATGTAATTTTATTTTTTGGGCATGTTTCAACTATATGCTTTAAAAAATTTCATATTCTGGGCCTCCCCGGTAGCGGTTGAACGCTGGGTTGCGAAGCTCCCCGCGGCCTCTGCAGCACTGGTTCGATCCCCGGCTGCTCCCTGGCCACCAGAGGAGGGTCCCACATGGCGCGCAGACCTCTCCTGCCGCCTGCTGCTCCCCTCAGCAGTGTACTTTGGTCCTTCTGCCTGCTCTGCTCTCCTCTCTGGTTCTGGTGAATTCTCTCACCCTCCCGCGCTTCTGACTGTACCCAGTGCATGTATAAACAAAACAAACAAACAAATAAATCATAAATAAATAAAAATACATGCCTCTTAAAAAAATTTCATATCTTTAAATATCTTAATCATACATATGCTCTGTTTTACTTTTAATGGCTCTATACATATATATATATATATTTGTTTTAATAAAACCTTATTTGTTGAACCAGTTGTGAATTGGCAGATATTTAGGATGTTCCAGGTTTTCATTAAAATAAACCACATTGTGATTAACATCATTTTGCAGAATTTTTCTGAGGATAATTTTTCAGAAATTAAATTTCTGAGTTGAAGTGGCTCAAAATTATAATTCAAATAAAATTAAAAGTTCACACTAATTTACATTTTGACTCGGGTGACAATCTCTTTATCTGATGATTACTTATAGAAGAAAACTTACACATCATTTTATTTTTATTTGTTTTATCATATTATGAATATTTGTTCATTAACCAATTGAATTTTTCTCATTAAAATGGCATCTTGATTCTCATTTTGATGCCTATTCTCTAAAACCATAGCAATGTTAGATAAAATACAATTTTAGAAACACAGGAATCAGCTGTGCTAGATAAAAATTATAAAGATTTACATATGATTATAGAATGTGCACTTGTTCATTTTTGGTTTATGTTAATTTTTATAACATTGATTTCTTACAGCTTCTTATACTTATAAAAAACTTTCTTTTACCAAATATGCTGCAAATCATGATTTCCAGTTTAATGTTTGTTTTTATTTCCCTTTTTTTGTCACATACAAGTGGTGCTTTTCAAATAATTGAATTTCTGAGTCATTTCTACTATTGTTTCTTGCTTTGTTTCATGTTAGGAATTTTGTGAGAAAGTTTCAAAGTCCGGTATTCAGAATTATTTTATTTGTATCATAATGCATTCTCAATAATTCTTTTATGAGAATTGTAAAGTCAATTGGAATGATTATGGATTGTAAAGTTTGTTTCCATTTGTAAAACACAAATGCAATAAAAATGCTTAAGATTTATAGAGCATTTGATATGAGAGTTAACACTCAATATTTTTCTAAAAATGATTATTCTGCACTGCCTATTATATTAGCACACTAAATCCATATTTAAGAAAAAACTATTAAGAAACTTCTATTTTGATGACAGTTCATAAAATCTACTTCTTTTGGAAATTACCCAAGCATAGCAAGGATAATGAAAAATAGAAATGCAAATTCCATCTTTGCCAAAGTTGAAGTATAAATAAGTGATAATTGTGTAATAAAAATGTAAGATTGAACAGGGACATGGGTGAAAGTAGAGAAAAGATAGCTTGAAATACAAAAATCTCAGACAAAAGAGAGTAAAAGTGTAATTCTCCAAAGGGATGTGCTTATGTTGAAGTGAAAATAGAAAGTTCAAAATTCAGAAGCAGGAAATATATCTAGTTTATATGAAGCTAGTTTATAGAACTTTCCTACCTTTTCCCAAGATGGTTCTGAAAAGGAAGAAAATTGAATTGAACAAAGAATTTTTCAAAAGGTAATAGCTTAATTATATTTAAATTTTGTTGTGGTTTGATAGCTGTTTCTCTTTCTCTATGTCTGATGAGAACCAGAGATTAAACTAACTCATAAAACTTTGCTGTTAGCCAAAACCACAGTTCCAGACTATTTCTTATGCTAGCCTTCTGCAAATAGCTGAATAGAGCAGAGACTATAATCAAAATAAAATATAATAAATGTCTACAGAAACAAAAATAAAAGACTTGAATGTGTAGTTTGAAATGGCAAACTGTGCTCCTGAAATATTAAAAAAAAGGTAAACATCTAAGATAAGAATGGTTTAGCTATTCAGACTGAATGATCAATTTGTAACAAAATGGAAAAGTATCTACTATATACATCACTGAGTATAAAAAGCAGTATGTAAAATCAATTGCAAAAAATTCTACCATTTGCTTAAAACATAGAAAAAAATGTATATTTGATTTATATTCACAGAAATATTTCTATCACAATTCTTTCAGAAACTTAACAATCATTATCTACAGGGAAAGGATTTCAGTAACTATATACTGTAACATGTACACACTTAATAATATTAATAAAATAAATAATATGTCTATTTTTTAAAGGAAAAGAAGACTACAAAAAAATGAAGGAAAAAATACATTGGTTTATCATATTTAATGTTTAGGCACTGGAATGTTTTCTCTAGCACCTGGGAAATGCTCTAAAAGCCATGGAGTTAATTAAAATGCCCTCTATAAGTTAAAAAAGTGAGTAAACAAGCCCAGTGGGCTCATTTTCCTTTAAAACTCCATTATTATGTACTTGAATAAATGCTAATTAATCCCTTAGAATAGGGTTTACCCCTGAAGTGTCACCACCTGTATCTTAGCACTGCAAGCTTATACAGTATTTTTAGTGTGTTAATTAAAAGAATGTTAGAGGATGGACTAGTTTAGCCCATGGCTTATTTCTAGGTTAAATGCACTATAATCACTGCTTATCATAATTGGGAGGGCTTTAACATTTAAGAACAGAACTCTACATAACTCTAGAATTTTTCCTAAGAAACTGTAATCTATTTCTATTTAATTTCTAAATGACTGTATTTACTTTAAATACTTTTTTTTTTCTTTATATGGAATGCTTCATGAATTTGAGTGTCATCATTGCACAGGGATCATGCTAATTTCTTTATTATTCAATTTTAGTATATATGCTGCCCAAACAAACACTAAATATTTATTTTTATTATCAATTATAATAAACACTTTAAATTAGAAACTACACACTTGATGATCCTGGAATGCTTGAGACTAATGAGAATCAAAATGAAATTCCATCTTTGATTCATATATATGTGTAAGCATATACTTTTAACACATATTTATGTTATGTAAACATATTACTTTCTGTAACATGTAAGGTTAGTCACTATACAAGCTCCCCACATTCCAGAACTTACAATCTAGGACAGATTTTAGTTCAAGTCAGAATAGAAGCAATATTGGAAGCAAGTATTGGAAAAATGAGTATTGGAAGTTAGAAACCCAGAGAAGGGAGAATCTATTAACATTTATGCCTTAGGGTCTCCCTGATAAGAGCAAAGAAGCTTCTTAGAAGAAATAGAATTTGATGGAGGTGTACAGATTTCAAAACAAGAGAAGTCTTTCAACTATTGTAACTAATTTAAACTTGTAACTTTTCCATTTGTTAGTCCTTCTACTTAACACTTTTGTATTTTAAGAGTTCAAATGACTCAAACATTATAATACCATGGTTGAGAGCATTGGATAAAGGATAAAGTGGCTGGCTCACCATTCAATAGTTGTGCAGTTTTTGGGCAAATCACTTGATTTATTGGAAACTCAGCTTCCAAATCAGTAATTTGCTTATAGCCACACCTACTAAATAAAAATTTAAATGAGAAAAAAAATGCTAAAAATGTTCCCCAAAAATGATAACTAGTAATATAATAAAGTGGCTAACCCATCTGAATTAATTCTATTTTATTTTATTACATAGATTTGCTCAAGTGTGTCCAGATACTTAGTAAATCTCAGATCTTTAATTAGGTTATTGTTAGCACACCGATTAATCAGAGAGATATAAAATAAACATTTTTTTCCAGTTTGCTTTTGTTAAGAAGATAAATCTAGATCTAGCTCCTTAGGTAAAAATTTTTCCTATTTATTACAAAGATAAGAAGCCACTGTTGATACCTGACCTTCATCTTTAATATGTAGGAATGACAACTTCGAAATATACCTCATAAATGATAGTAGTGTAGGGGGAACAGAATGTCAGAATGCTTTAGATGGACCATAGGGCTACTATTTTAATTACTTAGGATCTTATCTTCTGGTAAATAGCTGTCTAGACTGACTTATTTTTTTTGTAAGTACTTTTGATCCAATTTCCCTTAGGTTGTATTCCAAAAGAGGGAAAAAAATCTTCAAATATTAATATAAACATGTTTAATTACTGCTTGACAGTTATTAGCAGCACTGTGTCACGAAAAGTACATTGGGGAAAGAATAAATCCAAGAATGAATTGGATTGAAAGTATAGAAAGTAGATAAATCAGTGATGGTGTGGCTTTTTCTATCATTCTCCTAAGAAGTAAAAGAAAAGTCCAAATAAGGTATTGAAAAAGGGTGAAATTTGGTGGGTGTGAAGTTGGGTGGATGCGCACTAATGTTCAAAGCTGGCCATAATGAGTGGAATCCATAAATGTTTCTGAGTAGCCTACAGTACAAAGATTATCAAAAACTCCCCATCTTTTCAACCACCTTACAGTCACATAATTCTCAGTTCCAAACTTTGTAATAGAAAAATAGCATTTATTGTCCTCCCCATTTTGATCTGGGCTAACTTGTTTTGATGAAAAGAAAGTGGTGGGCATGACAGTGTGTCAGTACTGAGTCTAGTCATTCTATCCCAGTGATTACTACCTTTTCCATTAGAACAAACCCAGGTCAAACTATTAGATGAGAATTAGGATACTTCCAGTCCAGAACCTGAACTGCAACCTGTATAAGCAACTAGACAATGGCCTTGCTTAGCCCAGTCATCTTACTTGCTCATATTCAGAACTGTGTGCTAAATAAATTGGTATTGTGTTAGTAATAGTTAGCAGGCAAAATCAGTGATTAGGTAAACAGTTTGATTTATGATTAGGTAAACAGTTTATAATGGTCCACATACTCCATTTGATTTGGAGTCAGGTTTCAGTTAATGCTTGAAGGTAAAGGAGAGGAATCTTGTTCCAATAGTAGAGAAAACTGGGAAGAGGTAGGCCATTTTTCAGAGCTCCAGTCAACAGACTAAAGGTAAGGACCAGGATGAGTTTCAAGCTCAACAAAAACTGCAATGAAATCAGTAACATTTAGCTAAGAACTAATCACCCAGATTAGAAAAATTGTTCTCACTGAAACTCAGTGGAATATAGGTTGTCTAGAGCTCAAAAGAAATGGTCAGTTTGACCAATTCCAGACATAGAATGTGACATCAACCTTGCTAAGAACTGGACAGAGTTAAGTTTATAGGTAACACACCTCTGTCACCAAAGCTGAAAGATCTGGACAAGGCAGGAATTAGACAAAGAAAAAAATGAGAACCAGGAAGCAGGGTAAAAGTTTAGTGCTGTTCAGAAGTGATAAGAAGAAACTCCAAGCACATATATCTTCTCCCCGAGTCCCTCATCACCACTCTTCCCCTTTATTGAATAAGTTGTATAGAATAAGTTGTATCTTACTACATTATTAAAAATGTTAGCTTTATGTTTCCTAAAATAATCCTTGTCCTTTCTTGTTTATTATATTTTGAATTCAGTTGATATAATTGTATGGCAAAGCAAAAATGATGTCTTTTATGTAGTAGTTTCTAAGTGCTGTCCAATTCTGATCTGTGAACAGATGTTGACAGCACCAGATTCAAAACTAGGAAGATATTTGTATCATTGAAATCATGCACATTGTTAAAATCAAGGCACCATATTCACCTGAAATAAATCATTGAAGCTCATGATTACATCATTTTGACTACACACTGTATTTTTCTGTATTTATATACCCTTTCTTTATATTCATTGGGTATTACTTAGATAGAATAATCTATTTGAAATAAATATAGTTTATTGTCACTAACAAGATAAGATTTTCGAATGTGAAAGAACACAGATCCATATGAGCTATTAAGGTCATTTGTTTGCATTCTAGAAAATAACTCAAATATATATCAACCACCAATGGTGGGTTTGAAAGAGACTAGAAACTGTTGAGGCTGAATTTTGACTGTGAAGAAATACAACCTGTGTAGTAGGAAAGAATATTCACTGATATGCTTCCCCAAGCAGAGAAAGAAGTCTATTTTACAGTTTTAAAAATAATAAAACATTTCAAAAGAATTTTCGTATTTAATTATTCCCTAAGCAACCTTGAGGTTACTTCTCTGGGCAGGAAAGATTCACTGGTAACAAGTGAAACTTGTTTCTCTTTTTTTGTCAGAATGTTTTTGTGAGTATTTTTTATAGCTCATGAGCAACTTGATTCATTTTATTTGAGGAGAACCATCTTCACCAGAGAACAAACCAGCTTATGTTAGGAAATTAATTTTCTTTTCTAAAAAGCAATCAAATTCTGTGAGAAATTGCGAGAAATTACTGTGACTCCACTGAGGAATAAAAACCCTCAATCTTCATCATAATATACCCATTGCTGTCCCAGGATTTGCCAGTTAAGAGTATAAAACTTTATGGTTTGGTTGCTTCGATTATCCAAGGGATGAAAACAAGTTGTATTTCTTTTTTGCTACTTAGAAGTATTTATGCAGCCTCAGGAATCACTTTCTAAACACAGGAGAAATCTTATTTTTCCTATACTTTCAATGTCTTGGGTAGAAATGTGAAACCTTTTGGGGTGGTAGAAGAGCAACATTTCAACTATTAGAAATGAAAAAAAAAGAGACAATAGTTATCAATATCACCCTTTTCATTCATAGAGCAGCTGATTCATCACATGGATTGATTCTATATTTCAAGTTTCCAAATTATTGCTCAGGAATTTGCAAAATAAAAAATTTTCAAGGAAATTGGCTATATTTTTTTCTCTAAAATATAGGAGAAAGTATCTCCAATATTGTATTGACATAATCCACAAGACTAGCGTAATATACTGTAGGATCAGGAATGGCCACAGTGCAGGTTTTCTGATCCAGCAGACTGGGTAAAGGAGGAGTCAGAGTCCTCAGTGGCTTTTGCAGGTCTTTTATTTAGATTTACCAGGCATGTGGCAGGCAGGGGTGCTGGGGGGCTGGGAGGCTGGCAGTCCTCTCAGCCCCCAGCAAATCCTCACTGTATCTGGGCTCTTGTGGTGTTCTCTCAGCTTCTGCGTGTTCTTGGTTTCTGCTGGCGTCCCTGTGACGCTGCCCTTATAAACCGTCTCTCAGCCCAGGTGTACCCACTTCAGGTGCCCACCAGCAGGCATGCATTCAGGACCACAGGGTTCCCTCATCTATCCTAATGGCGGGAGGGCAGAAAAACCTGATACTTTTTACCTTACGCTACATATACGAATAAAAGTGGCTTTATTTTTAGGGCATTCAACTTGTTCCTTTACAGAGACCCTTTTGTAGTTAGCATTAAAACAAATATAAAATACACATACACACACACACATACGCACACACCTCACATGAACATGAAGAGTCTTCATTTGAATTACAAATAGATATGCAGGAAATTATTTAAAATTGGAGGGCCAGCCTTTTGCCCGGCTCACCCCTTCCTGCCAAATGAAATTATTAGGTTAAGAAAAGATTTTCAAAATCAAGAAGACACATGTTCTTGGTAAGTCAAGTCTTCCCTTAGTTTTATATGTAATAACTACAACTCAGATAGGATATATAATTTATGATTATTATTCTTTATTGTTGAGCTTTTAAAATATACTTTTGACCTGAGAGCTGTTTGTTTTTCCTGTCTTCCTTTTCACTCTCCCTTTCTCTTTATTTAAAAATAAATTTATTTATATAAAAATGCATAACATTATCAATATGCAATGATTATTTTAAAAATATATTAATGTGATAGTTTATACTTTGTTTTTGTTCTTGTTTTTTAAATTGAGGTTATGCTGGTTTACAGCATTGTATTTTACAGATTTTACCTTCAAGGGAATTCAGGGAATGCTTTAATTGTCATCAAACTAATCTGTGAATCAAAATTGTTAGATCC